CATGTGACAACGGCGGCGAGTTCTACAAGGAGGTGTTCCGGCTGCCGGAGGGCTGCGGCGCGCAAGTGTGGTTCGCGGCGGCGGGGGCGCCGCGGCAGAGTGGCATGCGCGAGCGAGCTGGAGGCGAATGGGAGGTGCTCTGGAGGGCCGGCACTGCGGAGGCGGACACTGAGACCGAGTTGGAAGTGACGGCCGCTGCTGCGATGATAACCTGTGGGCCAAGAACCAGGGGATCAACGAGTCCGGGTTTTCGCCAGCACAACTCGTGCCGGGTCGATCCCTGACGCCGCCGCGGGACTGCTGAGCGAGCGCGGCCGCTCCCAGCTTGCGTCGCAAGACGCGGCGGGCAACGGCCCTTGCTTGACGAAGCGGCCGCGGGTCCACGGCGCGGCGAAGGCGGCGCTGGAGAAGCTGGGCGCCAGCAAGCGACTGCGGCGAGCTCTGGTTGCTCGGGGCCGCGGGGCGCCTCCAAGCACGAACGCGAAGCTCGGCGACGCGGTCTACTTCCACCGCGAGGGCGAGCGGTAGAGCCGGTGGAGGAAGGGCCCAGTTTTGATTTTCAAGGCCTGGCACGGGCTGGCTGTCGCCATCGGAGTCGAGCCAGCGGCCATCTGCGTTCCTTACGAGGGGCTGTCGACCAAGTGTGACCCTGCGGCGGCCCGCCGCGCGTCGCCCGACGAGGCGCCGGGCATCGGCGCCACGAGGGCAGCTGGGCATCGCGGAGAAGGCGCTGCTCGAGATGGAGGGCGACGGGGGGCCGAACATGGAAGACGCGACCAAGGCGCGCGAGGAAGAGGGCGAAGATGACCGAGCTGAAGGCGACGGACCTGAGGCGCCGGAGGCGGAGGCTCGACTTTCGCAAGTCGACGAGGCAGTGGAGGGCCACGCTGAGCAGGAGGGGCCGCAGGAGCCGACGAATGAGATCCCGGCCTCGGCCGCGGTGGCTGCATGATGTGGCGCAGCGGCTGCGAGATCAAGGCGAAGATCCGAGCTAGTCCAAGGCGCTGCGCGCGGCGAAGACCATCCAGAAGCGCGTGAGTGAGGTGTGAGAGCGGTCTATGCTTCCAACCGCTCGATCGGACCCAGTGGCGACCATCGCCCCCGAGGGCCAGTTCGGGCCCTACGGCGACTTCGCTCCGAGCACCCCTCCGCTTGGGGGGTCCGAGGCATTTCGGGAACCCGCGGCGGGGCCGCCGCAGGCCGCGCAGGAAGATCTCCCCCAAGGTCGGAAGCGCGACGCGGAGGAAGCTGAACTGCCAGAGGCGAAGCACCCCGGCGACGCGCCTTGGGTCGAAGGTGCGGCGAAGCGAGCCGCGACGCGGCTCAAGTGTGCTCCTACGGCGGACCGACCGCGTTTTCTGGGCCACTTGGAGACGGCGCCGGCCACTGACACCGAGTTCGAGGCGATGCCGGCGCAGGGCCAGGCTCTAGAGGAGAAGGTCTGGAGTCGGATGGATCCGCCGACCGAGGCGTTCTACGAGGAAGCAGCGGCAGCCCAGCGGGCCAAGTGGATCGACGCGGAGTCTGGAGGTGCTGCTGGGGAAGGAGTCCGCCGAGCTCGAGGAAGCGACGGCAGGGGCGACTACATAACGAGCACGCGGTGGGCGCTGACCGACAAGAACCACCCGCTGAGGACGGAGGCGAACGACCTGCCGCTGAAGGCGAACGCGGATGGATCCGCCGACCGAGGTGAACTACGAGGAAGTGGCGGCAGCTCAGTGGGCCAAGTGGATCGACGCGGAGTCTGTGGAGGTGCTGCTGGAGAAGGAGTCCGCCGAGCTCGAGGAAGCGATGGAGCGCGACGGCAGGGGCGACTACATAACGAGCACGCGGTGGGCGCTGACCGACAAGAACGACCCGCTGAGGACGGAGGCGAAAGACCTGCCGCTGAAGGCGAACGCGAGGCTCGCGGTCAATCGCGGCGACCCCAGGCGCTCGGGCGGGAAGGCCAACGCGCGAGTGGACGCCCCCTGCGCGACCGCGCAGTCGGAGATGATCCTGACGCAGGTGGCCGCGTCGCGCCCGGAGTGGAAGTTGGGGCCCAAGGACGTGGGCGGCGCTTGCCACGGGCGAGGTGGGCGAGCGCGGTCTGGCACCCACTGGTGATGCGCGCTCCTTTGCATGGTCCCTCGCTTGCAGATTCCCCGCGGGGCCGCCCGGCAAGAGTTCGAAATGGGGTGTTCGGACTACCCGCGGCGCCGAGGCTGCGGCGCTTCAAGGTGGTCTCGGCGGCGCGCAAGTTGCGCCTGGAGCTCTCTCGATCGGGCCCCGCGCTCCTGGTGCTGCACGACCCGAAGGCGAAGGGGCGGGGGCCGGACAGTCTGCGGGGCTGCGTCTGCATGCACGTGGGCGATTTCCTCTGGACGGGGAACGACAAGATGGCGAAGGTGATGGAGGCCCTGGGCAAGGAGTTTGGCTTCGGGAGAGAAGAGCACGATAACTTTGCGTTATGCGGCAGACGGTTCCAGTGACAGCCTGGAAAAGCCATCGCATTCGACGCGATGGATTACGCGGCCGGCCTGGGGCCTGCGACTGCGGCCAGGAGCCGGCGCGAAGCTGCGCATCAGCCCATGGATACGACGGAGTGGAAGCAGCGCCAGCAGGTGGTTGGCAAGATCAACTCAATTGGCTTGTCACCTAGCTGCGCGTGGACTAATCGCACGACCTGGCGGCGCTGCAGCGCGAGAAGGGGCGCGAGAAAGGGCCGATGATCTCGGCGCTGATCCAAGCGAACCAGGTGCTGAGCGAGCTGAAGCGCGACTCGACGTTCAAGCTCGTGCTGCGGCCGATCGACCTCAAGCGGGCTGGCCTGGCGGTGTCGGACAGTTCGCTGGGCATTCCGATGAGCGATGGAGCATCGTTGATGACAAACCCTGCGACGGAGAAGATTGGCACGCAGGCCGGATTCCTCATCCTGTTCGCGGATCGGGAGCTCGTGGACGGCGGCGCCGGCAGGTTCTCGTCGCTGGAGGGCAAGAGCCGCAAGCTGAAACGTGCTGTGAGGAGCTCCTGCGCGGCGGAGGCGATGTCTGCGGGTGGCGCTGTCGACGTGGCCCAAGGGCTCCGCGGCCAGATTGCGGAGATGTTGCATGGCCCCGCGGCACGGGGCGCCGGCGTGAGATTGTCCGGGCGGCAGGTTCCAATGATCGGCGCGAACGAGATGGGCACGGAAAGAATGGGAGCAATGCCCTGCAGCAGTTCTTGTTCATTTTGAACAGGACTCGCTGTCGGCGTCGCCGCGGCCTGCGCCCATTTGAGACAGAAGGCCGCCTGCCCAACAGTGGCCGCTGTTGGTTTGGGACAAGATTTGTCGTTGGGCATTGTGCCCATTCTTTCCGCGCCCATTTCGGGCGTCCAAAAATGACGGTAGTGGCGGATTCGAAGGACTGACATGATCGATTCATTTCAGACGCAGGAGTTGGCCAGCGCCGGGGAGATTCTCGACAGGCCACAGACGATGATGCGCTGGACGGATGGTCCCAACATGCTGAGTAATGTATTGACCAAGGATATGCCTGCCGACCACCTTCGAGAAGCTTTAGCACGCGGGACCTGGATCATCGAGTTTCGCGAGGAGATGGCGAAGACAGCCAGGCGCGTAGCTCGAGAGCGCTGAGCGCCAAGAGTGAAGGAGATGGCGAAAGGTGGAGAGTTCACGCCGAGTGCGCTTGAGCCTCAGGCAGACTAATAATATCGTTTCTCCTCCTCCCTCCGAAATATATATCCAGTGCCGCAGCTCATCCTAGTTAGTACGCTCGAGTGCAGTGCCGTGCGTTAAGTATATATTCATCATTCCTCACCCTCGTTGTGCGATATCCGATTGGGCGCGACAGCCCACGTCATATCCAGAGACTCTGAGATGGAGTTTCGCTGCTGTTGAATTTCTGGAATTCTCTGAGAAGCGTTCTAGGCGACGTCCTCATTTCAGATGTTTGATGTCACTCTCGTGGATCGCGACCACGAGACATAGCTTTCTGGGAAACTGTTTTTGGATGAACTCGGCTCTTGCAGGTCGGCTCATCAATTCTTGCTGAGAGCGGGCTCGAGTCTGCAAAGGTTTAGATCCGCGTTGAGAAACGCGGCCTCCAAGCCCAGACTCGCCCCCCGCTCTGTTTATTTATGTATATGTCCCCCTCTCGCTCGCTCGACCGATGCCGTCTGGCTCGTAGCCGGCGTGAGGGCGATTTGGTTGTCGGAGCGCGTGGCCGAGTAAAGACGTTTGTCCCCCTGGCGCTGCCGCTCGCCCGCCGCCATATCCCGCTGCGGAAGTGGAAGGGGAGGACGCTACTGATACCCTCGGTTCCGCAATGGCCCGAGGGCCCGAAAACTACCCCCTGGAGGCCGACTTTGAAAAAAAGGCCGATCGGACGCCGCGAAACATCAAAATCAATGTGAACATCATGACCAGAGCCTGACTCTCAAATTGCCCCCAGCCTTTCTCGAGCCGCATCAGTACGTGAGGGTCCCAGGGCCCGAATCCAGGCACACCCACCCGTGACGAAAAAAGTGCGACGCCAGCAGCTTAGGGCAAACAAGAAATAACGGGATGCCCCGGCGCGAAGCATAATCACGGCAACGGAGGTTTGGTCTAGGCATCCCAGACGACGTCCGAGTGGATACGGTCGGAGGATCGCGCCGCATCGGCGATGCGGCGCCCAAGGCCCTTGCACCCTTGTCGCGCATCCTCGCTATCAGTTTTGACAATTTGTCTTGTCGCGCAAGATCCGTTTTTTCCGTCGCTCATTTGGGAGGCCGCTGTCCAGAGGGGAGTGCCCGCCGCTCAGTATCGCCCAACCGACTCCCGTCACCATCCCCATCCCCATCCAGACCCCCACCACCTCAGCACCCCAGTTTGGGATAGACCCTTCGAAACCTGAAGGAAGCGGCTTAGATCCCCATCGAGGGGGGTAAATCGGCCAATGGGGCCCAGGCCACGCCCATGGGGATACGGGTTGGTTGGGCGATGCCCAGCCGCCTCGCTGGCTGCCGCTGGGTCGGAGGCGCGGCCGCGGGGCAGCGCGGCGGCCTGCGCGGCAGCCGCCGCGGCGGAGGAGGAGCTCCCAGGGGGGGCGCCCAGACCTCCAAGATATTGAGACAAGCATCAGAGGCGCAAGGCAGGGACAACGGTAGGGGAGGAGAGGCACAGGTGCACAGGGGGGATCATCCCCAAATCACCCATTGATCGGGGGCCTATCTCCGTTTTTTCGGCAATGTGCCGCCGATTCCAGGTCGATGTCCCCCCCCTGATGCCAGTCCCCCTTATCGTTGCCCCTCAGCAAGAGGTCATGATAATGATACGTTCCCAGATTTTCAAGGTTTCCAGGGTTCCCAATAATATCTCCTGACGTTCCACACGGGCTGCAGGAACGAGGGCCGCTAGATGCTTTGGAAGTCCTGGAACGCATTGTGAGCCAATCCTATCATGACATCGCTCTCGTCGTAAAACAGGGCAGGAGTAGAGGAAGAAAAAACTGCATGTACATAAATTGTTGGACGTCCGCGCGGATTTCTTGGATCTGGCGCCGCCCTTGGCGCACGGAGCCAGAGCGCGCCAGGGGCGGCGCCGGAGGCGCCGCCAGGGGGGGTCCCAGCGCCCGCGCGGAGTTCCAAAAGTGTATGTTTATACAGTTTTTCTATATGAATGAAGTTTTTCGTCGATTTCGGCCTTTGGTGCCCTCGCTGGGCCTGGGGACCATCAAGACATGATTCGGGATGAAAAAGCGGCCCTGGGGTTGCGGGGACCGCGCATGGAAAAAATCGAGACGTCGGTCTCCCCAGAAGAGAACAAGGCACCGATGCCGCTACACTTGCCTCGTCTTGGCTTGTTCGGGCCCCTTGTGAGGCCCTCGCCACCGCGACAGGATTCGCCTCGCAGTCCTGGTCAGAGCGCACCCCAGGAGAGGTTTGGGGGTTGGCGGCATCGGTACCTTTGCGTCCCCCCAAAGACTTGGCATCGCTCGGACGTGTGCCTCTTTTCCTCGGCGAGGACCACCGAGGAGCATCATTGGATCACCTTGCGAAAAAAGAAGCGCACGACACCGACAAACGCACGGGGAATGGACATCCGAGTGATGGTGAGAAAAGGGTGTCCGCGGTCTGGTTGGCTCGGCCGCGTCGCAGTCGGCTGCGTTCGGTCGGTTTGGTTTCGGTGCCGGCTCGGACGGTTGTCAGCCATCGTGTCTCCGAGAGCGTCTTGAGATTTCAGGCCGCCCAAATCGGGGCCGAGACGGGTGGCTGGAGGCCGTTTTCGAGGCACGGGGCCGCCTGCATATCGATCCAGGACAATACGAAGAATATGCATGGAATGAGCCTGGGAGTGTTCCGGGGATCGATCTTGATCGGGTCTGGGCCGCGAGGTTTGCAGGAGAAAACATTTACCGACGCCGAAGCCTTGACCTCGCTTTCGCCTGCCTGGGCCTCCTCAGGGGGCCCTCGGGGAGCCCTCGTCCCACCACAGGTGCACTCGATTGGGAATCCCGGGAGAGGTCCTGGGAGCACAGCCAAGACGCTCAAATAAGGACTACTTCGGGCTCAGGAGGGATTGTGGTTTTCGGCAAATTCCGTAGATCTGGGTCGAGGAACCTCCTCGTGAGCAGGGCTCGCCGTTCCTTACTCAGCGTTCCTCCTGACAGCACGATGGCTGACTCTGAAGGAGGAAGGGCAAAGGCGAGATGTACAGTCGGCCCGGATTAGTAGGTCGACCCTGCCAAGACAAGGGTACCTTCGTTTCTTGTGTCTCGCGACCCATGCCTCTTGCATTCCTGTGGCGACGTGGCCGACCCATGACTCTTGCATTCCTGTGGCGGCGTGGCCCTCGGAAGGGTCTTGTGTCCGCTCGCGTGTCCTGTCCAATCGAGTCCGACTGTATCGAGCGTTTGTCCGCGGCCATTTTGGCCCAGTGACCGGCCACCTATCTGGCCGGGCCGCACCGCGGCCCGCTTCCTTACATCGAAACAGAAAAGGTTACATTTTTTATACTTGAGATGTATCATCGCCGCTCACGCGGTTCCTGCCCACTTCTGGCACCATCGCTAATACGATACAACAGGGTCGGACGTATTATTCGCCTTAGGCGAAGCATTTCGCTGGGTTTCCTGACGAACTTTATGTTTGGTAGCCGGGCTGGCCGTTGGTGGTCAGCTCTAGTTATATCCCTTGCTATCCGCAGCGCTATCTGGTGGACTACTGACATGGTGGAACATCGGGGTGAAGTGGTTCTACATGGAGGAGCTCTTTACCATCGCAAGGGCACTTGCATTGCTGCCACGCAGGGGTCCCTTAGTTGAGCCCTACATATATGCGCTACTACACTCGTGAAGTCCACCCACCTACGCCACTTGGCAAATTCTTCGACGATGCTATGTATGGTAACGTGCGCTATGACATCGTGCCGCCTGCACCTCCTCGCAAAGTGACGGCAACGTCACTTCTTAACCAAACGCCGCGCACAACCGACACCGACCTACGAGGCCACTGGATTGGCATTGCTATATTTGACCCCCTCTGGGTCGCTATCGGATGCGCGGCTGGACACATGCAGCGTGGTGCAGACGACGGGCGTACTACCGGCCCTCAGTGGGACCCGGCCGGCAACGCACCTTTCCGCGAGTTCGCTCGCGAGGCACATGCCTGGATCAACGTGACCACAGGCACTATGACCTCCCAACAGGCCGCCGTTTTACAGCGTGGCTTTGGAGGTCTCGCAAGAGCCAGGAGAGTTCCCCCCGCAGTAATCAACTTTGGAGTGAATATTGGTGGACGCCACACCGATGGAGTCACCTACGTAATGTTCCTCCTCAGCACTAAGTTCGAGAACATGGAAGAGGAACGGCAACTCAATTCGGGGACGGCTCCCATGGACTGTCGCGTCCATGCGGGAGAACGGATCGACCAGACGCTGGCCCGCTTCGAGATTGCACGCTTCGAAGATGACGCCGCGGGGTTCAACATCCCAAACTTCCAGATCCTGACAGTCATGCTGTTCAGGGCCCTAGGTGTCGGCACTTCGCGCGCACAGCAACTACTACAACCACTGAGCTACCAAATGCCAAGGTCTCAGCAACAGGTCGACTCATCACTGGAGCGCATGAGGGCTTACGCCCATCTTGCTGAGCGAACCCTTTTCAATATTGGTGGTGTATTCAGCCGCGGCCACCGCGCTGATGTCTTTCATGGCGACACTCATGCGGGGCAGCATGCCAGCGCCGTCTGGAATGGCGATCCACAACCAGACGATGCCACCACTCTACTAAGCCAGCAAGGTGGCCAGCCCATGGGGTCGTAAGACTCCTGCGATCGATGCCAGGGGCCGTCGGCCACGGCGGCCCCTGCCCAGGCCACTGCCCTCGTGGGCTCGGCGGGGCAACCTGCAGAGTCCGACTTTGACGTGGGCGCCGATGCTGACACCTCGTCAGATGACGGAATTGGTAAACTGGACTATTCCGATACGCCCGCGCACCACACTGAAGAGCAAGTGGCGCAATGGATTTTCACAGGCCACCAGAAACATCAACGCCGATGGAGACGCTTTATGAAGAAAACAGTTCGATGGGCACGACGCGCAGTTCGACGTGCCTTTAGGTTAAAGGGCAAGGGTGAACGACGACGTCTGCATGGTAGAGGTACGCTGACATTCCCGGCCCCCCTTACGGGGCCGCAGTCTGAGGACATCTTCCCGGGGATTGGTAGAGGCCGCAGGCGCGCCTCAGGACAAGGCAACGGGCGCCGCGGCAACCCGAAGGAAGCCAACGGGGAAAACATGAAATGTGAGATCTGCCATATCACCGAGCATTTTCGTCGCGAATGCCCCCGGGGCGACGGGGGGGGCAGGGGTCAGTCGATGCATTTGGCTCAAACCGATTTCGACATTCAGCGCGTCGATTAGGGAGCCCTTCTTGCCGGAGCAGAGGACAGCCCCGCAGCCGCCGTCCACTTCGCGCCCGCGAGGCGCGCGGGCGCCAGTGTGTCCCTCGAGAGGTGCGCCGAGGAGCTCTTCGAGGAGGTCTACGTTGGCCACGATGAGATCGATCTCGCAGACTGGCTGGGCATTCCGATCGCGGGGCGACCTGCGCGCGTAGAGATGATCGAGGAGTGCCGGCCGCCCGCCGACTCGGACTGCGAGATTGCGGGGGCGCCTGCGCACTCCAATTGCTACGAGCCGGATAGTTCTGGTGATGGCGTTATACTGGCCACGGAGGAGGAGCTCCCATTGTCGCTCCGACCGCAGCTGATTGGTGGCCCCGCGTGCGGTTTTATTTGCGACGGCGATCGTTGGCGGGGCAGCCCGCGCGACGCTGGTGACCTTTCTAAGCGGGTCCAGTGCGCACTCGGACATAATGAAGACTCTCAGTTCACTTCTGCCACGCGACCGCTCTTCGAGCCGCGAGGCTCGGAGGCGCGCGGAGCACATTCGGGGCGATGGCGAGGAAAGGGAAGCTGAGAGCAATCCACCGCGCCATCCCCGGCGGAGCCATTCGCGCAGGCACCCGCGCGCCCGCTCGAGCGGCGCGCGGCGCCCGCATCGGGGCGACGAAAACTCAGACGAGCCCGAATGCCAGCGTCGATTCAGATTAGCCGGTGAACAGGACGACGGGATTGCTCGCCAGCGTGTACCAGGCGGATGCATGTGGCACTGGCGGGCACAGGGCTACTCTGATCATCGAGTCCGCAATTATTTGTCATTGTGGAACGTGCAGCGGGATCAAGACGCGGGCAAAATCACCCGTTCCAGCAGAAGGGGCGGTACCAGGACAGCTGAAACGTCGGAATGGGAAGCCGGCGACAGAGCCGCCATTGCGGATCGGAAGACGCACCGAGAGAAGGTCTGCGGACGCGAGCACTTCGCGGACCGCAGACCGAATTGCCCGATGGGGCGCCCTTCAAGGAGCACCAACTTCGAGAGGGCCCCATGGGTCTTGTCCCACGGGGACAGCGAAGGCCGCAAGGTGGACCCGAGTTGCAACCCCAGCGAAACACACCTGACCAAAGCGGACTACAAGCCGTTAGTTGAGGTTCAGACAGAATTCGTCGAGAAGGACTGGGAAGACCAAGATGGGG